ATATAGAAGATAAGATTGCAATTAGTGACCAGGAAAAGAAAAATTGTTTTAAAATTGTAAGGCAACACGAGAAAGCAATCCAGCAGCTGCTAGACGATGCAAAGAAGAATAACATAAGACTGATTGGAGTCAATGAAAACTATAGCACTCTGAAAAGAGAGATTGAAGATAATATCAGAAAATGGACAGACATCCCTTGCTCCTCGGTAGGAAGGATTAATATAGTGAAAATGGCCATACTTCCAAAACCGTTATATAGATTCAATGCAATCCCAATTGAAATTCCAGCAGCATACTTCCTGGACCTTGAGAAAACAATCCAAAAATTTATTTGGAACAAGAAGAGACCTAGGATAGCAAAAGCAATCCTAGTTAACAGAGACATGGCAGGGGGTATCACAACCTCCAACTTGGAACTATACTACAAAGCTACTGTGATTCAAAACAACATGGTACTGGCAAGGAAACAGACTTGAGGACCAGTGGAACAGATTAGAAGATGCAGAAACAACTCCAGACACACTCAGCCATCTCATCTTTGACGAAGGAGCCAAACACCCTCACTGGAGGAAAGGCAGCCTCTTTAATAAATGGTACTGGAAAAACTGGATTTCAACTTGCCAAAAATTAAAACTAGACCTATATCTCTCACCATGCATAAACTAAAATCAAAATGGATTAAAGATCTAAATATTAAAACAGAAACACTGAACTGGCTGGAACAGAGGTTAGGTAGAACTCTTGAAGACAGTGGTGTAGGAAAAGGTTTTATGAACAAAACCTCAGTTGCCCATGAACTAGCACAATCAACACGTGGGATCTTTTCTTATTAAAAAGCTTCTGCACAACAAGAGAAACCACCAACAGTGTGAAGAGACAACCCACAATGTGGGAAAAATGTTTCACCTGCTGTCCCCCGGACAAAGCTCTACTATTTAGAATCTATAAAGAACTTTAAAAACTCAGACCTCCCAAATTTAAAGACCCAGTCTAAAAATGGGCATCTGAAATGAACAGACATTTCTCACACAAAGAAGTAGAAATACCAAATAAGCATATGAAGAAATGTTCAACATCACTGGTCATT